GGATTATTGCTGTGGTACGCAGTTTTTTACTCAAGAGTAGTTTGGTTATACAATTAGCTAGATCATTAGATACCTGAGAATTATAAGATATATTGCATAATTAACATTGCCACTGTTTCTCCTCTGCAAGATGGCATAATTCTAGTTATCCAATAAGGTGTCCATGATAAAAAATAAAGTGAAGAAACAGTGGCAATGTTAATTACAATTTATTTTAAAATCCCAGTACCAATAAAATCAGGAAAAAAGTTGAACGATTTTGGAAGCACTTTGAATTTCGAAACATTTTAAGCCGCATTTTTTTATTATCTGCATACACAACTGTGCTTCGAATTTAAGCTGGCTCGTATCTCACAGTTTCCGAGATCCCAGTGGCGCGGGTGGAATTTGAAAGTGTCATATTGAACAGCTACGAAATCCAAAACAACAGGTAGGAAGCACATCCGAAACCTCTCTAAAATCCATTCGCAAACAAAATAAACGTCGGCAGCATACTACGTCACCTGGTATAGCATCCCGAAATTTCACGCGAAATGATTACGTCGAGTCTCTAAAATCCCCATCAATCATGAAAAGTTTTTTTGATACAACGAACGGATGTGGAATATGTAGAATTCGCTTTTGTATTGTTCAGTTCACATTATCTGGGAATTCGGAAAGCCTGCTGCTCATGCCATATTTGTATGAATACCATCCCACTTGTGCGTGCGAAAAATGGCCGTGTCGACTAGGCAGGGTCGTCCTCCAGAATTTAATACAGGACACAAACTGGTATAATCGCGAAATATGTACTATAGCACCCACAATTAAATGACAGTGTCAGTTCCTAGGATCGTTGTGAGCGCCCATCTATGGAGGAATAGTTCAACTACACGCATTGTTGGTTGCATATGTTTTGTGACGCCGAGTAGTCTATAGTTTTCATCTAGGTTGAATAACAGATCACATCTAAATGATTGTGTGTATTGTTGTGCATGTGTATAAATGATATTACCTGTGCCCGACGGGTTATTTATATGTTGTCCTTTCTCGAGAAAAGAATGTTCAAAGTTATAAATTACGATTTTTTACGTTTTCTGTGTTTAATCATCATCTCTGAAGCAGATTTTACATCACATCAGAGCCAAACATTGATAACTGAAGCCTTATGACGTTTAGGCAACACGTACAACTACAAAACGAGTTTACAATGTGTTAACATCTAGTAGAAAAACCTACATAATGTCACAAAAAACTAATATAATGTCAAAAAAATCGATATAATGTCACTTGTCAAGTAATGTAATACCCGTACCGGTATTACGAATCTTGAAAAGTGGTTGGTTTTGATAGGTTTCTTGTGACATAACATTGGTTTTTCACATATGTCAGCTTAGCACCAGCTGTTGTAAACTTGTTATGAACTCGTTTTGTAGTTTGTAGCTGCTCGTGTTGCCTAAACTTCACGAAGTCAATGTTTGGCTCTGATATGTTATACATCTGCTTCAGATCAATAATCTGCATTGATGATAATTCCATTGGTTTCTTATCTCAAATACACTTCCTTGAGATGTATTCAATGCTAGATTAGGTGCGCATCCCCTTTTCTTTATTCATTCTGGAAATTACATATGCAAATTTGCTGAATTTCAAAAATGAGAGAGATAAGAAAAGGAAATACCTGGTTGGTGAAGTTTATTGGGTGGGGTATAGTTATACTGTTTACTCTTCTCTACATGAATATGACTTTTCTTGAGCGAGACAGGCTGGAATTTGGTTTACTGTTCTTGCACAAAATTATCGATGGTCACATTGACTGTTCCCATTTAATGTGAATGATAGGAGGACGCTGTCGTCAAACAAATTATGTGGACTCATAATTCGTCTTCTTCGGTCGAGTAATAGATATACAGGGTGCGGCAGAGGTGATGGACGGTTTTAAAAAAAATCATAAAATGGTTAATTTTTAGTCAAAATTTATTGATGGAATCAGGTTCACAAGGAAATAGCATTTGAGACAGTCGAGTGTGGAAAATCGCATCAGGCATGTGGTGGCCGAAATCGTTGATGCAGTGCCGGAGGCGTTCTTGGAAGTTCGCGTAGACTCTCTCCAACATCGCTCTCTCAACTTGACCCTTCAATTCGTCCAGAGTATGGGGCTTGTTCGCGTATACTCTAGCCTTGAGGTATCCCCATAAGAAAAAATCGCATACGGATAAATCTGGGGACCGAGGAGGCCAATGAACATCGCCAAACCTGGAAATAAGGCGACCAGGGAATAACGTCCATGGATGCTCGGGCTGTGTGGGCGGTCGCCCCATCCTGCTGGATCCATATGCAAAATTCGCCTTACCGAACGATCACTAAGGCGAAGTGCAGCAGCATGTTTCCGTGCAGATCGAGTCGGATTGCGAAGAAAGACCTGTCGAACGCGTTCAACATTTTCAGGAGTTCGAACTGTTCGCGGCGCTCCTCTTGGTCTTCTGTTGATGAGTTCACCACGCCTGCGAAGTGATTCAACCCAACGAAGGATGGCGTTACCTTTAACAAGCGTTTTACCTGTTGTTTAAATAAATTTATGATAACTGCTTTTTTCTACTGACCATTCCGCTTGCGCTTACAAATATGATCTTTCTGTCAGTTGGCTGAGGCATCTAGCTCGTACTATACAGTAGGGTATTGTCGGGAACAGTGGCTCACTTTTTTTCAGTTGACTCTAATATTCATCGAGTCTTCACCAAATGGCTTGAAACTCGGCCAATGTGGGCAGAGGTTATGAAATTTTTATCCTGTGCCATCGAAATGTCCACAAAGGGTGCCAAAAAACAACCAATAATGATTTTGTAAAAAATTAGAAATGAGCCACTGTGCACAGGTAGGGTGCTACAGTGACACACCCCAGTGGTCCACAGTGGTTCTAACAGTACACAGAGACTCAAGACAAACCGAGTTAATCAAAAGTACGGGAATGCTGTTGAAATCTTTATTTCTGAGTCACATTTGAATATCTCGGAAAAAACACTGATCAAAATAAACTTATTCCCATTACTATATTAAAAAACAAAATGAGCGCATCGTAGCTGTTAACATTGAAATAATCAAAATCACACATACATCAGACTCCTATTTGCCTTACAAAACACTGAAGAACTTCTACTTTAATAAGTCTCATCGTAAGCATAAATAATAACAATAATAATAATCAGCAAGCAAATAAAATTAAGTCTTCTACTTAACTTACAAATGTGCACATTACTTTGTAAGTATTCTTTTGTACTTATAATGTTAAAAAAAACTTTTATTACAATCAGAGACAAAAACCAATCTTACTCCTTAAGCTCATCGAATGATGAAAGTTTGTAGAACAAGTCAAAAATAAAAATTAATAACTCCATAACCCTTATACCTCTTAGCATATCCGAAGTTGGGATAAATCTAGTCCAAAATTATAGTACGGCCTAGAAGAAGTGCCAACAATTGAAGGCTTTGGCAGAAGTAATTTCAAATCACTTTCTTTTATAACAGAAAGGTCAGGCTTATCAGGCATGTGAAATTTGCTAGTACCAGGCGTACGCCTCAGAAATGATATGTAGAATTCATTATTCTCATTTCTACCTTCTATCACCTTTCCAACGTAAAGCGATGTAAGTTTTTTTGTTGTAAATTGTACAATCACATATTCGCCCTCTAGTGGCGCACGAGTTAGAGATTTGGTTAGGTGCCTTTCAGTTATAATCACTGATTCTTCGTCAGAGTTTTCGTCTTCGTCTTCTGCTGCCCAGTCTGTATCATCATCAGATTTAGCATATTCCACTGTTTCCTTCTCTTGATCATTATCTTCTTCATCACTTTGTAATACTTTTCGAGTGACTTTTCCCTTCTTATTAGTGTTTTTACTTTTAGCAGCTATTTTTTCTTGTTCTAGACGAACTTTTTCCGGTGTGTCAGTAAGAATCATGCTACGGCCTGGTTTCCTTCGCTTGCGGGTAGTTGTTCTAGGTCCAGCCTTTATTGGGTCTCTAAACTCAAACGGAGATGTAAAAGTATTCTCAGCTGATTGAGAAATGGATGGTGTCAAAGCAACGTCTTGTGTCGGGGTAATTATATATGGCTTGGGTGGAAGTTTGTTCGAAGAAATTGCTGATATGAGCACTTCAGGAGCTAATATTTTTAATGACTGGAGTCCTGATGGAACTGAAACGGTATTGGATACTTTTGTTTTTGTCAAAATTGAATCTTCATCGGACAGGTTCTTCGTTTCCACTTCTTTAGAAATGGATTGATGGTTGATAGACACAACAGTGGTTTCAATTTGACTTGGTTGTGTCGTCGAAGTACCCAACGTTGGTGAGCATGGTTTTTCTGATGTTGCACAAGTCTGTGAAATAGAATGCTCCGATGAGTGCGCAGTAGTGGTCTCTTCCGGTGCTCCCAACTCGATGACATTCATTGAATTGATGTTTACGTTTATGAGCCCTTCTTCACGTGGCAAACAGTCTGAACAGGGACCTGGACGATCTGTTACTGTACTTGGCAGAAAGTCCTCGTCTGTAAAAAGGTTTCTGTCGAATGGGTAAATACCACATTTTGCAAAAGCCCTGGTAATGTTTGTTGGGGTCATTGCTTTAAGAAAGGCTGCCCCAATGATTTCACCTAAGTCATATATGGTAAAAGGCTTTCCAGGATGTGTCATAAGCCAGGAATCGATGCCAGCATTATAATATACTTTGAACGCGCTAAATACTCCCACGTCAAGTGGTTGTAATTTCCCCGAAGTGTGGGGATGAATAGTGAGGAGATTGACTCCACAATCTTTTGCCAACTGTATGGCTTCAATGCTCAAATGTGACTCGTGGTTATCCATTACCAACATACTAGGATTTTCTTTGCAAGAGTTCGTATGCTTGATAAAATGTTTCATTACTTCTGTGAAACTATCCGCGTTCATCCATCCACTAGGCGTTGCTAAGCCGAGTGTTCCTGCAGGTGTGTTTTTGATCATATGATCTTTGAATTTTTTCCTAGGAAATATCATAACTGGTGGCAAAGCATGTGGTTACCAAAGTTCCTCTCTCACCACTTGTGACTTTTCCAATGCATTTTCTGCCTAATGGTGCTATTACTTTTTGAGGCTTTTGCACTGTTGTCGTTGATGTTTCATCCAGATTAAATATACGGGTACCATTTGCAAAAGCCGAGTTTCTCTTGATCAGATCTTCTAAATTATTGTAAAAATTATTGACGTTGTTTCGGTTGAAGGCTGTAGCTCTTGCTAGGCTACAAGGTTCTGGTCTCCTGGAAGAAAACCTGTTCCTACGTTTGAACAAAGTTAACCAGTCCTTACCCGCCATTTCATTGTCTGTCCAAGATTTAGGCATCTTTATATTATTTAGCTTAGCACATTGATACGCCACTTGACGACATTCTCTTGCAGTTAATCCGTAAAACAGAAGAGCGCAATGCGAAAAATATTCCTTCAACTTCTCTTCTTGGGATGCGGTAAAGATCTGGTTCACAGAATAATTCGGCTCGAATCGCTCCTCATCGAGATTTTCGGAACCAGCAGTTTTCCAATAATACCTCTTCAGGGTAGTAAATGGCACACCACAACTCGTAGCTGCTTTTCTGATAGACATACCCTGCCTTATTAATAGTACCCCAGCTTTAACGTCTGCAGCGGAGCTGTTGCCAATTTTTCTCATTGCCCGTTTCTTGCGAGGCATTCTGAAACAAATATTCAAGTAAGCGGTACACAATGGTTCACTAATAGTACACAGTGGCTCGTGAACCACTGTGTACTTCCACGTGCTGAGCCACTGTCGACCGTGACGCCATTTTGAAATATATGTCTTCTGTGCCATATTCACGTTGCACTGGCTGTTCTAAGCAAAGTTAAAATTATCTTGCTTCTACTTACTTTACTACAAAATATAAATAAATAATAAACTACAGCAATTAAGCTAGAATTTTAAAGTCAAACTTACCTGGAAATGTAATTTTGGGTACCTGAAAACCAACACAAAGGCGAGACGCGTGCTATCAGTGCTTTAGTTGCTGACCGACTGGTTCATGCGCATTTGTGTCGTAAACACTTGATGTAGATGACTGCGACAGATAGATAGTCTCTCTCGTTTTGGAGATATTGAATGGAGCCACTGTACCCGACTGAGCCACTGTTCCCGACACCTATATTCAGATAAGAGATAGACCGGACATAAACAAGACCACGTGATCATCGAACGCTGTAACATTCGGCAGGGACGTATTAAGAGTCACGCAGTACATATTTTAGATAGTAGATGCTGCTTTGCGTAACTTTGTAGTAAATTAGCACAATTCGATGTGTATACGATTGGTGATGGATATAGGATCATGTGGGGGTGGGATAAGAAATATATAATGATGTAAATATACATAAGGGTTTCAAAATTTTCGCTTCGATTTCCAGCTTCGGATGCCGCCTGATGTTTGGTGAAATACAGTCGAATATAATCTCAAAATGGCGTTTAAATTAGCCTAAATTAAAAATAATCGTATATCTCTTAAAATTGCTTTTAGAATATTGATTAGTATATTTTTTGATTTCTAGGTAAATATGTAACCAAATTAAAACGTTCAAAACGTAAAAAAATGTGCATGGTTGAACATTGTCAGAAAGTAGATTCTTGAATAGGTTTTGCCAAAATGGGTTCAAAAATGTCAATAATTAATTAAAAAATACAGTAGCTTTATAATTACTTATAGCTTACCGAATTTGATGAACGACATCTTTTATTGGAAAGATGAGCTTGATGAGCTTTCATCATCGCTACTGCCTGAAGCACCAACATCAATAATGAATGGCTCGACTTGTTCCTCTAAAATATTGTCCAGTTCCCACATTCTCTTTTCAACTTTGTCTTTCACGTGCTTAATACAGTTTTCCCATTTTTGCGCTGTTATTAATTCTAGTGCTTCTTTGAAAAGTCCTTTGAGGTCACAAAATTTAAAAGTTGTATTGTGCTTAGCTATATAATTTTTAACCTCTGCCCATATGAGCTCAATGGGATTGAGCTCGCAATGGTATGGAGGTAAACGGAGCTCAGTTTTATTTTGACTTGCTGCCATTTCGTCAATGGCGTATTTTTGATATTCCGCCTTGTGATCCTTGACAATTCTTAATAATTGTACTTTCAGCATTGCTTCTTCAAAGTTGATATTTTTCGAGCGTAGCCAATTTTTAACATCAACTTTCCTTGAGGCCGTTGTTGGGACCTTCTCCATTCTTCGAGAATGATAAGGCGCATTATCCAACACAATTACTGCGTTTTCCTCTAAGTTCGGTAAAATTTTTGAAAACCACTGTTCAAACGATTCGCCATTCATTTCCTCGTGGTAATCTCCAGTTTTCTTAGACTCAAAGCACCACAGACCGTCAACAACAAATCCATCCTCACTGCCAATATGGCAGATAATGAGCCTTTTCCCTTTACCTGGAAATCGAAGTACTAACTGGTGTAGATTTATTTCAATAAGCGAACCTTTTTCAAACGTTTTCATCACATTCAGCGAAAAAACATTGAGACATGAGTATCAGATTGCTATAATTGGGATTATTTAGTCATATTGAAAGAAAGAATATTGAACGTCGTATGATTACTCAGCGCTTCACAATTTAATTTAAAGTTATAAACCTTTAAAAAATGAATGATCAGGAACCTGAAATACGCGCAAATATTAATATTAACAAATTATAACTTTATAAAGCTTAAAGTATGAATTAAAATGATTAGAAATATTAGGAACGGTACACAATATAAAACTTAGTAACTTTTTTTAAGTTTATAATATTCGACATATTTTAAGATTATATTAAAAAATTATTGAAATATCGAAAACACATAAAAACATGGCTTAAAAAAGTTCTAACAAATGAAAATGACAATAAAACATCCACGCATTTTATCGAAAGTTATAAAAGTTTTGTTACTTGTAATATGTTTTATCTGCCCCCTGGAATTAATGTTTAGAACCTTGTTCCCAAGGTTTGAAAAACATCCGATTGTTGTCTATTACTCGTATTTACCTGCTGGATTTTTTAATCCGTTGGACAGTCCATTTAGAAAGACCCTCCTGGATGAAGTTACAGAATCATCAACCCATACCCCACGAGAGTGACCAACACAAGTACAACTTGCATAGATAATATTTTGACAAATTTAGACGAGTCTGAATATACAGTTTCTGTAACAGATCCCTGTCTCTCAGACCACTATGCCCAAAGTATGCTTGTACATTTAAATTCTATTAAAAAAGAAAATATTGTTCATACTAGGAAAATCACAAACGCTAGCCTAAATCATTTAAATCTCTCGTTATCCAACATAGATTGGACAAAATATTATGTCAATCATGATGTGATTAGTCTCTCTTCTTTTCTCGTAGAATCAATAAATGAACTTAAAGATTTATATTTCCCATTACAAAAGCAAAAGCAACATTTTCAGAGACAGCCAGTAAAATGGTTTAATAGTGAACTTAAGACTGCTAGGTCCTCTCTTCAGGTTCTAAAAACAATATCGGAGCATCAAAAAGACGAACAGTCAAAAAATGTCTTTAAAACCTTTCAGAGACAATACAGACAAAAAATTAGACATGCTAAATATAGTGCATATAATAATTTTATTCATTCATCGGAAAATAAAAGTAGGGACTGTTGGAGGCTAGTCAATTTTGAAAGAAATAAATCCAAACCAATGACATTAACTGATATCACATCAGACATGTTTAACGACTTTTTTGTATCCGCAGCCAAAAATATAATAACAAGCCTACCTAATCTTAATATTAATGAGCTAAATACCATAAATTTTAATAAGTGTAATAAAACCTTTTTTCTGGAGCCTGTTACATATCTAGATGTTTTGAATGCTATTGGTGAATTAAAAAATAAGCAATCTCTTGATATTTATGACCTAAACAGCAAAGTAATAAAACACTGTGCAAATACTCTTGCCACACCACTTGCTCATCTATATAACTCCTGTCTTTCTCAGGGAATATTCCCTGATGTTTTTAAGATTAGTAAGGTAGTACCAGTTTTTAAAAAAGGTGACCAATCTGATGTAAACAATTTTAGACCCATTTCCATAATTCCTATCTTTGGCAAAATTTTAGAAATAATTTTAAAGCACCGCCTTTTAAAATTTCTAAAAATAAATAACATCATTAATCCAAAACAATTTGGTTTTCAGCCAGGTCTGTCAACCATAAATGCACTAGCGGAACTTATTGACCACATAGTCCAGGGCCTTGAAGGGGGAAGAAGTGTACAAATTACCCTTTGTGACCTTAGCAAGGCCTTTGACTGTGTGGATCATGAGAAGCTGCTGTGTAAAATGGAGCATTATTATGGTTTTCGTGGGGTGTCTCTGTGCTTTTTTAGATCATATCTGACTGGAAGATCTCAGCTCGTTAGTAGTAATAATAAACATTCAGAAATTAAAGGTGTAAATTATGGTGTCCCTCAGGGATCCATACTTGGACCAATACTTTTTTCCCTTTACATTAATGATCTTTATTACTACTTATTACCAGATATTTGTGTATTGTACGCAGATGACACCACCCTTATAAAGAGTCACAAAAATCTTCATATATTACAAAGCTTATCTAAACAGCTTGAAGAAAAGGCAAACAACTGGTTTAAACAGAATAGCTTATGCCTAAACTCAGACAAAACTAACAGGCTAGTAGTAACTAGTAACTCTTCTCTTGCAGAAAACAAATGTGTAAAATTGCTTGGCATAACAATTGATAGCTCACTAAAATGGACAAAGCACATTGAAACCCTATGTAGCAAATTAGCCACAAACATATTCTTATTACGCAGACTAAAAACTTGCATTAGTAATGAATGCCTTGTTAGTGTTTATTACTCCCTCATCGTCTCTCACATTCAATATGGCTTATTAATCTGGGGAAATTCTACCCATATAAATAGAGTCTTTATATTACAAAAAAAAGCAATTAGAATTCTTGCGGGAGCTGGTTATCGTGACCACTGTAGGCCACTCTTTATAAAATTAAATATGCTTACAATTTATTCAATGTACATCTATCAGAGCCTTGTTGAGATTCATAAGAACAAGCATAAATTCTCAATGCACTCGGATGTTCATGGATATAACACCAGGCATTCCAATCTACTTCAAGCTAGCGCTCACAGGCTAAAGATCTCAGATAAAAACTCACTTGATGTTAGGGTATATAACAAGCTAAAAAACACTACTAAGAATCTTACCTTAAAACATTTTAAAAATACACTTTGGCAAGAATTAGTTAAATATCCTTTTTATTCCTTGAATGAGTTTATCGCGACCCCCCTATGTGTGTGATCTGGCCTACTACACCTTTATATTATATTATATTTTATTTTATTTTTACCAATTATAGTTTTATATGTATTGTATACGTCATCAGTAATTTTCATGACAAGTGTAAAAACAAATGTTTTGTTAATTGGCACGTAATATATATATTCATATTCATATTCATATTCATATTCATACTTTACTTGTAGTGTGTCCTGCGTTAACCCACGTTTCATCAAGGTAATAAATCTTCCTGTTTTGATTTCTATATTTCCCAATTTTTGTTAAATAATCCCTCCTCCATAGCACAATTTCTTCTCTATTCAGTAGTAAACTATTACGACCCCGTTTTTTCCATTTGAAATTTAAATG